AGTTTTGTTTTATATGTTTCCTGGTTGCAGTGTTTTGTGTACTTTTGTTATTTTATAACATTAAAGAATGAGCAACTGATCCTGCTCTCTCCATATTTCTGAGTTCACCAAATATTATATCATTTAAAAATTGATGTTTGTGTTTTGGAGAGACTAGGGTATTGGTGTATTTTGTTCAAATTCAGTATGTCACTCTGTATTAGTGTTTCTATGGTTTCCCACAAGCTTAGCACACACTCTACACCTACTCATCCCCATATCACCCAAAACACACTCACTCATTTGCATATTGCCCAGTTATGAATTGGGAGATGAAGGCTGAGTGAGAAAAAAAATGTATGTTTGAGCAAGTGTTTCATATCCTCTTTTAACGTTAGTGTCTGGGCAAAAGAGACATCCATTATTTTCTAGAATTTTCTGTATGTCTCATTGACTATTTTTCATGTTTTTCCCAGGAATGTGTGGTGGAGTGTGAGAAGCATCTGAATGCAGGCAGCTCTTGGAGTTTGTGCAAACGTTTTATGCTGAATGCTGATAACACTCCTGAGGGTAACCGAGCATCCACAGAAACTGAACACTTGGACACCCAACAGCACCCAGTAGACAAAAAATATGGTGGCTTCATGAAGCGGTATGGGGGTTTTATGAAGCGTTATGGAGGCTTCATGAAGCGTTATGGAGGATTCATGAAGAAGACTGCAGAGCTCTATGGGCTGGAGCCAGAGGACGTTGACCATGGCAGAGCAATCCTGACTAATCATGATGTTGAAATGCTGGCCAATCAAGTTGAGTCTGATGACGAGAGGGAGGAGGAGGCTCTGACAGACGTCTTTGATTCAAAGGGAGAAGCACAGAGTGTAAAGGGCATGGCAAAACGTTATGGGGGCTTTATGAAGAGGGGACAGCTTTATGACTTGGAGAGTGGGGTTAAGGCACTAAAAAAACGGTATGGGGGCTTCATGAGGCGTGTAGGTCAACCACAGTGGTGGCAGGAGTCTAAACGCTATGGAGGCTTCTTAAAACGCTCCCAAGAGGAAGATGAAAATTCATCAGAGATAGAAAAGAGGTATGGTGGATTCATGGGATATTAGGATGGTATTTTCTGCTGTGTCCTATAGTCCCCTTCCTCTCTAGCCCCTTAGATACCACCTGAGAACCGAAAGAGGAAACACGCTTTAAATGTGCTCATAATGTGTTAATGAAGTGTTTATGTCTTTATTGTGGTGATATGATTTAATGTGAATAAGACCTATTAAAGACCTCAAACCATGGATATATTGTCTTAACATTACATATCGAATCTGAATTCAAATTTACATTTACAAGTTGTGTAGCAGATTTTAATAATCAGGATTACCTACTTCTGGCAAATGCTGTATCGCAACCATTTTTCTTTTTTAACACTACAATTCTGGTTTGCATGAGACATTCATTCAGTCTAAAAAGAGGAAAATTTTAGAGAAAACAAGACAGACATTTACTTCTCCATTACATGGTGATTATTTCTTCATGACATGTCTTTCACACATATGTATATTTTATTGGGTACCAGTCTGAATATTGTCATTTGCTGTATAGCTTGAATAAACTGCTCGAAACTGCACTAGAATGTGCGTCTTGAATAGAAATGCCTTTTATTTTATTTTTTTGGTGCACAAGGTTTGTGCCTCAGCAGCCTTTTGTTAGTGAGTAAAAGCAAGTTGCATTACCTCTTCTGAATTGTGCTGAGATTATGATGTCGACTCTGGATCAAACACGTTTGTTTGAAGTGGTAGTGTAATTGCATGTTTTATGATGTGAGTTAGAATTGAAAAGCACTTCTACTAATGACATGACTATTATGAAACTCATACAATCAAGGCGAGAAAGTACACTTTCAGGGGGATTTGAATTTGTGAAGCAGTTTTCAAAAAAAATAATCCTGCATGGAAAATTCACCACATACACAGATTACAGATTAAGCACCACTAGTGTGAGGAAGCAATAAATACACCATGTTTTCACTGTTTCTATTTGAATGTATTTTACACGTGGCATATCTAAGCCAGATGTCTCTTACCTTTGATCCTAAGCATAACCATAACCATGTGATTGCTAAACAAGAGCTCTGCCATGCATTCATTAAAAATCTTATGTATTTTGGGTATCATACATGCAGGGGCGCCGCTAGCAATTTTGGGCCCTATGAAAGAATATGAGGTTGGGCCCCCTACCGCACCAAACATACACTATATTGCCCAAAGTATTGGGACACCCCCTTCTAATGAACAGGTTTGACTACTTTAGTAATTTCCACGAGTACAAATCTTTAATGTTTAAGCATATAATGCTATTCTAGGGAATTGTGTGCTTCTAATTTTATACCAAAAGTTTGAACAGGACCCTTTCCTATTCTAACACAACAATGCCTCTGTGTATAAGGCAAGGTTAAACATTTTTTTTGATTCAGTCTCACTGATTGATTCAGTCAGTGTGGAAGAACTTGACTGGTCTGCAGAAAGCCAAGTCCTAATCCCAGCTGAACACCTCTGGTGTGATTTTAAATGCAGACCTTGAGCCAAAAACTCATCACCAAACACCAATGACTTGTACATACATATGGACAAATG